CAAGGCCCATAAGGCATATGGCAATGGCGCTCGAGCTGGCGAATCAATTCGGAGCAGCATACTTTTTTCTACATCGGCCGCAGCGCGTTGCGGATGCCATGGCGCGAAGCACGGAAACCTTGTTCTTTCAGAAGACGCAGGGGGCGAGAACATGGCTGTCGAGGTGCCGGAGCACATCTCCTTCACTCGCAATGGCCCACGCTAAAGCGCGAGCCTCATGCAGCAATATTTCTTCAAGGATCGCTCGAACCCAAGATGCACGGTACGTGATGGATTGCTCCAGGGAGGCCCTCTGGGCGTGCACTTCGCCCATCGCGCGCCCGCCCGCGCGAGGGCCGCGCGAGGGGTGCGATATTCGGGCGTTGCGCCCGACGTGGGCGCAGCCGCGGCTGGGGGCGTTCGCCGGCTGACAGCGTCGCGTCGCTCTGAAGCTGGCGCTGCAGCGCAATTTTGCGTTGCCTTGTCTTCGGCGCTGCAGAGCAATTTCGCTTTGGGCGTCGCGTTCGCCGACTCCTCCTCCTCCTCCTCCTCCTCCTCCTCCTCCTCCTCCTCCTCCTCCTCCTCCTCCTCCTCCTCCCCCCCCGTCCTCTTCCTCGCCCCAGCCGCCCCTTCCCCCCCCCTTCTCCTCGTTCGGGGCGCTGCAGCGCAATTGCGCTGCAGCGCGCCCCCTCCTCCGCGTCGCCGCCGTCGACGTCGCGGCCCCCGAGACCGCCCGTCGACGTCGCCACCGTCGCCGCCCTCGCCATCGCCATCTCATTTCTTCGGCGCAGCAGCGCAATATGGTTCTGGCGTCGCTGTGGCCCCGCGTCGCGGTCGCCGAACCCCCCCCGCCCTTCCCCCCCCGCCCCCCCCCCCGACCTTCTCCTCTCCAACTCCCTCTCCTCGTCGGCGCTCCCTCTGAGACCGCGCGCGGGAGCTGCAGCGCCAATTGCGCAATGCCTCGCCATCGTCGCCGCCGCCGGCGCCGCGCCACTCGCCACCGTCGTCGCCGCGGCCCCCGTCGCCATCGCCTTCGCCATCATCGCCGTCGGCGGCGGGGGGGCGGGGGGCGCCCCAGCGCTGCGGCGGCGAGGGCAGCGGCAACTGCGCCGCGCCTGGGGGGCCGCCGCGATGCGCCGCGATGCGTCGCGCGCACGACGCCGGCAGGCGCCGCCCCGCGGCCCTGCGCCCCCCCGCCCAGATCGCCGCCGTCACCTCCACCTCTTCCAGGAACGGGAAGGCGGCGGGCGGGCGGGCGCGGCCCGCCGCGACGCGCCCGCGGCGCCCGCGGCGGGCGAACGAGGCAACCGCTGCGCCGCGCGGAAGGTGCACCTGCACGATGCGACTCCGCCCCCGGAGATTGGAGTTCGCCACCGCCGCGAGGGGGCGCCCGCGGTGGACCGCGTGCGCCGCCCTGGCGACCGCCGCCCAGTCGCGGCCCCTCGGGGGAATGAGCGCCCCTGAGAAACCTAAGGGGTCCGCTGCGACGGGGCGGCGCTCAACGTGGAGGCGCGCGGCGACGCTGCAGCGCGGCGGCATCGTCGCCATCGGAATCATCATCATCATCATGACCGTCAACATCAGCAATGCCATCATCATCGCCGCATCGTCGCCGCGGTCATCTTCGTCGCCATCAATCGTCGCCGTCGCCATTGTCGCCAGGCGCCCGCTGGGCGCGCCCGCGCGCTGCAGCGCGCGCGGCGGCAGAGCGAAGTTGTAAATGGCCTAGCTAGCGCACTTAGTGCATAGTTAGCAAGTGGTTGCTAATCGGTCGCTGAAGAAAGTAAACCATTTAGCTAAGTGCGTAGTAAGTCCTAGCTGACCGCTACTAGAGCATGGGCTCGTAGAGCTAACATCTACTAGACTTAGCAAATTTGGCAGCTACATCTATATGGCGGGCATCTCCTACTTAACAGCTAGCGCTAGTTAGCTTGCTTCTAACTTACGTATGAGACTTATCACCCACATGCAACTTGCTCACACCATACTTAGCGACTCTGCCAGACCCTCAGCAACCTCGCCGAACCCTTGGCAACCGCCGCGGCGAACCAAGCAAGGCGACGCCCCTGCCCCCTCCGAGCGGGGGTTCGCCCGTGGGCGTCGGCCGCAGAGGCGCAAACAAACCGGTCGCTGAAAAGGGGGCGCCCGGCCCCGCGCGCGGGCGTCGGCCGCGGACAGCGCGCCCCGCAATTGAGAATGCAGTTCCTTGCCCACTGGGCGCGCCCCCGCCTGGACATGGAAGGCGTCGCGCCCGCGGGCGGCGCGGGCCAGGTGGCGCGCGCCCTCGCGACGCGCGCAACTCACTGCGAGTTGGCCCACCCCCGAAAGGGGCGGTTGCAGACAGGGGCCCCCCACTGGGGCCTTGGGGGTACCCAGGGGCCTCGGAGCCCCCCCGCGACCCCCTTGAGGCCTTCGTGGTGCCCACGGGCCTTCAGGTGAACACAGGCAAGGCGGTTCCGTTGCTCCATACAGTTCCTCCTTATTTTTCTTTTCTTTCTCGTCGTTGTCCTCTTCCTTTCCCTCTGTCCTTATTCTCCTCCTCCTCTCTCCTGCGCTTCCTCCTCCGCCTCCTCCTCGTCTCCCCCGCCCCCCCCCCCCCCCCCCCCTGCCCCTCTTTCCCCTCGCGGGCGCGCGCAAAGACGACGACGCGAGCGACGCGATGGCGACGGAGCGACCCCGCGCCGCCCGAGGGTCGGATGGTCGGGCGGGGGGCGGCGGCAGGCGGCCAGAGGGTAAGCCGGGGAGCCCGGGGCCCAGCCCTCAGCCGCCCGCGGGCGGGGTGGGCGCTGGCGGCGCCGCGGCGCCAGCTCCGGCACAGGCCCGCATCTCGCGGGCCGCGGCGGGAAGGGGGAAGGGCGAGTTGGCAGGGTAGAAAGGCGGAGGAAGCAGGAGGGGGAGGAGGAGGAGGAACAGGAGTAGGAGCGAGGATGAGAGGGGGGGGGAAGTAGGAAGGCAAGCGAGGGGGAAGAGGGGGATGGGGGTGGAGAAGCTCCGAGAGGAGGGGGCGGGAAGGCGGAGAAGGATGCGGGGGGGGGGGTGCTCCGTACTCGTGCTGTTCTTGTCTTTGCCCGGCCTGGTCCCCCCCCCCTTCCTCGTCGCTCTCCCCCAGATCCCCCCGCGAGGCGTGGGCCGCACCCCCCCCCCCCCCCCCCCAGGCTGGCCCCGCGCCCTTCCAGCGGCCCAATGGGCGTGCAGATCGGACCGGCAGGGAGAACGCGACAGAACGAGGATGGCGAACATGTGATGACGCCGTTGAGAAGGGCGGGGGGGGAGGAGGAGGGGGGGGAGGGGGTGAAGGCCAAGCTAGGTGCGCTCGCGCCATATCTGACGCCCCCCCCCCACCCCCCCACCCCACACACCCCTTGCCATGGCGCTGATTTTCTCTATCCGCGGACGCGTGTCGTAGCGGACCTGTGGCTCCGCGCGCGCGTGCGTAGTGGGTGGTGGTGCACGTGCGCGCGTGCGCGCGTGCGTGCGTGCGTGGTTGTGGTGGTGGTGGTGGTGGTGGTGGTGGTGGTGCTGGTGTTGGTGCTGGTGCTGGTGGTGGTTGTGATGGTGGTGGCGGTGGTGGCGGCGGCGGTGCGGCGCGGCGGTGGCGGGCGGATGGGCGCGCGAGAATGAGGCCCGCGCAGGGGCGAGAACGCCATCCTGAACGACGGAGGCCAAACACCGATCCGAAAATTGAGCCCACGCTGCAGCGGGAGCACGATTCGGAACGATTCGGGAGCAGAAATGAAGCCGGCGCCTCAGCGAGAGCATGATTTTGAACAAACGCAGGCGAAAACCCGTTTCCCGGGAATCCTGCGCGTAAAAAACAATACGCGGGGGGCGCTCGGCCCGAAAATGACGCCGGCGCCTCAGCGAGAGTCGTTTCCCGGGATTTCCCGGGAATCCTGCGTGTAAAAAAACAATACGCGGAGGGTGCGCGGCCATCGCCCGGGCGCCATCAGGGGAAGAGGGAAAGTATTTTTATATTGAATAATTGTTGAGGACCCCCCCTCTCCTGCTGCTTTATTATTCGTCTGCACGGCTACAGAAGATAGCGCAATGAAATGGAATGCGCGGGGGCGCAGCAGCCCAGGCGTAGCACTCGAGTTGACGCGTGAGTATCCGGGCGAATTTCGCCACTGGCGAATCTCTGCTGCGACGCCACCCAGAGTTGAAGGGGGAGTCAACCATTCCACCAATTCGCCCCTGCATCGCAACTTCGCCCTGCGAAAAGGGCAGGGGGCGGGCGGCGCGTCACTCACGCAACACGCCGCCTCGCACTTAATTGGGCCCCCCCCGATCCTCGAAACTTGCACTGGAGTCGTGCCGGTGCCACCCCATCCTTGCCCCTTCCGTCCAATCTACCTTTCCCCCCTAAATCCCACCACCCGGCCCCCATATCTGGCCAGTTGCTCGACGGCTCGACTGACTGGCAGGCGCGCCATGGCAACGCAACGGGCGCTAGCGCGGACAGCGCGCCAAACGTCCGAGGCACGCAGATCCCGGCATGCCCCTGCTGCGTCCGACTAAGGGCGCTAACGCGGAGCGCGCGCCACATGTTAGAAGCAGCATGCAAGACACTTGCAGCGATCAGCGCGCATGAGCGCAGAGCGCGGTCGCACGCCAGGAGACGGCAAGGACATATCTACTGAAACAAGTGTTTGCATTGCTATGCCAACGCCGCGCCATCACACACGCTGCGCTGCGTCTTGGTCGCCGGGCCCTTGTGGTCGGGGTCATTCTCAGCCTTGAGGTTCTCGATGTTGCTGGCCATTGCTCCCGTGGCAGCGGCCTTCGCCGCGTGCCTATCGTCGGCCCGGCGCTTTCGTGGTCCTGCTCGGCCCTGGTGATTGGACGCTTCATCTCGGTCCTGGGCGCGCCCCTGGAGATTCTTCTAGGCTCGACGATCATGTGCGGCAGATTGGCCGTGAACATGCACTTGGCGTTCTTCTCGGTCATCCTCGTCTCTTCCTCGACCTCTGGTTAGCCTGTTCCTTGGTCAACGTGCCGCTCTTGACAGTCTCAGCCCTCCTCTAGACATTCGCCTTCTCTGCCTCTTCCTCCGTTGTCGGCCGAACGATCTTACCCATATCGTTGGTCTTCCCCTTGTATTCGACGTGAGTCATCTGGACGTTCGAGTCGCTCTGTTTCTCAGTGATGGCGACCATCCACGCTGGCAGAATGCAGTCCGATTGCAAAGCACTGGCCAAACCACCGTTCAAGTACAAGTCGATCGGCCCCTGGAACATGGACGCCAACAGGAAGGCACTTGTGTGTTTCGGAGCCCTCTGGAGATCCACCGCCAGCTTCCCCGCGAAATCTGGCATGTTCACGTTTTGCAAGCTCCAGGTCCACGTCGCGAGCTGACTCTCGATCCCCTTCCCACGGGGCCCCGCCAACATAAGGCGCCGCGGGTTCGTTGGCCCCCAGCTCGCAGGCCCACGGAACCACCGACGCGGAATCGCCGCCCGTTCGGCCGAGCTGGCGAGCTTGGGGGCAACGAACAAGCACCGATGCATCATGCCAACAGGGCCCACTACGGCTGCGGGACCTTCGCCTGCGCCGCATTGACGTCGACCCCCATGGAAGCCATGGCGGGGATCTGCGCGATGGTTTCGACGGCGACGAAGGTCGGGTCGAACGGCGGCTCCTTCGCAACCTTGGCGTGACCCACGGGACAGACTTGCCCCCCAGAAGCGCCGCTCCTCGGCGCAGGGTCGCCAGACTTGCTCTTCTCCCTTTTCAAGCGGCGCGGTGGCGGCTGAAGGCTGAGGATCTGCGGGGGCTTTTTGCCGGCGGCCAGGCCCGGCAGGGCGTCGCGCCAGTGGGCGCGCCATTCAGCTTCTCCGCGCGCGGCGCCGCCGGCCTCCGCCAGGGCGACCTTTTCATCCTGGGGCAACTTGCTGAAGTGAGTCGCGATGAGAACAGTGCTCAAGCTGCCGTCGGAATCGCCAGCAGTGAGCTCCTTCCCGCCTCCTGCGCCGCCCGCTGGGCTCAACAGGTCCTTCGCGAATTGCTGCGTGTAAGAGCCTCGCAGACGAACGAAGCCAAGCAGAGACTCCGCGTCCTTGAACCCCGCGTCGACGAGCGCCTTGGGGGTCTCGCTGTGGCTCATGGCCGTGGCCGCGGTTTCCGTAATAATGTCAAGCGCGGGATTGCTGAACAAAGTGTCATCCACGCCGGCGACCTGAGAAATCAGACGGAACAGCTTGCCTTCCCTCTCTCCCCCTCTATCCTTCGAATTCCCCACCTGCGCACTCCTGGAGCAGCAGAGAGAGATGCAGAGGGATGTAGAAGGAGAGGGAGGGAGAGAGGGGGATCGGGAGAGGGGGGGCAGGGGGAAAGAGGGGGAGGGAGGGAGGGAAAGAAGGATCGAGCATGGAGGATGACGGCATTCTTTGCCTGATGAGCCCCGCCCCTGGGGACCGAGGCGTAGCGAGGGGCGTGCGTTGCTCCACCAGGTCCATGGCCGGGGTGAGCACCTCGGCGCAGCACACGTGCATCCTGCAGCCGCTCTTGAACACGCGGTTGTTAGTCACGACCTTGACCAAGGCGTCGGCGATAGACGTGGGCTGCTCCTCGGTCGCGAGCGTCAAGCGAGCCTGAAGATCGGCAATGGGGTCGTCAGTAACCTGCGCCTGCGCGGCATCCTCCTGGCTCCCGATGATGTTATTGGTCGCGTGTTCGGAGGTAACTGCCTTGTCGAGATCCTGGCCAGCATCCTCCTCCATAGACTTGAACTTGCCCATGGGCCTTGAGGGGTACCTTTCGAGGATTCCACTTGGCCCCAACCATGGCGCGATGAGGGCGCCGTGGCAGCGGGGAAAGCTGATGCAGATGCCATTCAACCCTCCTCTGCCACAGCGCCCGCGCGTCGCGGTCAGGGCCCGTTGGGGCCCTCGCGCGCCTTCCTCTGCCAAAGGAACTCCCATCCATAGCTCACCAACTCCTTCTTCACCTCGATCGTGGATGGGGTGGTTGCGGCAGGACTCGTCGATGACGTGGTTGAGGAACCCGATGGGGTCATCTCCGAAGTAGCGCTCCCTCGACTCGCCGACGTCTGTCTCATCTGGGTGCAATACCTCCACAATCAAAGGCACGGCTTCCATGATGTTCTCATCCGAGTAGGCCTCCACAGCTGCGGTTGCTTTGGGCTTGGCCGCCCTCGCCTTGGCCTCCCCCTTGGATCTGGACTTTGCCACGGTCTGCTTAACCCGGACGCTGTTCCTGCACGCGTTGGCGGGCTCTCCCATCGGACCCGTGAAGTAGGAGGCCAGCTCGGCGACAGACGCGCCCGTCTTCTCGAACGCCCACGGCAGCCTGCGCTGCCGAGGAGGGTCTGCACGGACGGGCGCGCAGAATTTGACGACCCCGCCCATCAATATGCCGATGTCGCCGTTGTCCATGCACCCTTTGAAAGCGTTGTGGACCACCGGCGTCAGCTGCGCCATGATCATGACCACGGGCTGGTGGTGCATGCGTGGATTCATGAAATCGACGTACTTCTGCGCCCACTCAATGTGGGCGACGTTCAGCACGGTCAGCCGCCTGGCGAACGATTTCACCGCGTCGAAGTGGGCAAGCGAGTGCACATTGTTTTGGTAACGGCTGCTGATGAGCTTCCAGTACTCCCTCTCGTAGTCACTGGAACGAGAAGCGTTCCCCCCGGATTTCATGACTAGCCATTATGCCTGGGGGATTGGAGCATTCTCGTTCCGCCCCTCCCCCTCACCCCAAAACCTCGTGCGGAAGAGGGGCTGGGTTGGTGGCCCGCCCCCCCCCCCCCCCCCACACCCTCTTCTCAACAAAATTTGATGACTATCTCGCGGACGGCTGCGATGGCCACTCCGATTGAGAAGGCAGCGAGGGCCCCCCAGGCCCGCCAAGGGCCATGCATCATCCACCCACCCACGATATGGTTTCGTTTTTCTCTGGATGGGGCCCATAAAAAACCTGAAGCTCGGGGGTCAAGGGCAGGGGGGGAGGGGGGGGGGGGGGATCTCGTTTACCTAACACTTCTACACTAACGTGTTCCTCCATATCTGGCACCTCCTTCACGAGCTCAAGATATGAGCACCCACTCCCTCGTTGAAATATGTCGGCAGTATGGCAATCTCTCAGGAACTCACGGACGAATCTGGGCATTTTGCATGTGAATCGGCGGGCAGTCACACCCGCTTGAATTGCATCATCAACGTGTTTGTTCTTGCCAGCGCAAGTCTCTGCGTAGACCTCGTAGACAGCATTGGTGCGATGCCCCCATGTGATCGCCATGTAGGGCGCCCCCACCCCCCCCCCCTCAGACAGCACGAGCCAAGGCTCGCCGGCCACGCTCGGGACGACCCCCTGGCTTTGATCGGCTCCACCTTCAAGTCGTTCAGCGTGGAGTGTTGGTCGCGCTTGCTCACCTGGGCATCCGAGGAAACAAGCGGACCGCACATGTGATAAACAAATGGAGAGGATGAGGGCGCTGAGAGATGGTGGGGGAAAGCGAGAAGGACGAGGAGAAGGACCATAAGGAGGACAAACATAAAAAACATGCTGGCAGCGGGGGGCGATGAGCCCACGCGCGTAGATTTGACGACGAGAGCCCAATGAGCAGCCAAGAACAGGAGGACATAGAGAGCAGACAGAGCAGCCGAGTCAGGCCCTGGGCAGGGTGTCTAATAATGCGAACTATACGAGGCCTGCCACCTGCAATCGAGAGGGGCGGCGTTTCTATTGAATACCTTTTAGTGCCCGCGGTCACATCGTCTGGGTATATCGCGCGATCCCCCTTCATGTTGAAGAACGGAACACTCGCGGGGCTGGGGTCTGGAAGATCTTCCTCGAACGCATCGAGCCCCCCTCCATTCCCGAGAAGCTTCTCCATGTCTAGCACCTCGCCTTTGCGTGGCTCTCGAAAATGCACCTGCATGGCTTCCAGAGCAAGCGGCGCCGACTCAGCCGCAGCGGCCGCAGCCCCGCCCACGTCGGCCGCACCGGCGCCTCCAGAGTGGCCACTGCCCTGGCTGTTCGCAGACCCAGACCCAGGCTGATCGCTAGAAGGGAGTCGAAAGCTCTCTTGATCGGCGGCGCCGGGACTGACGCAAGCGCCGAAGACGCAGGTGGTCTTGCCCGAGAGCCTGAGGGCTCGCCTGCTGCTGGCGCCGCCTTCTTGGTGGCCCGGACCTGCTGTTGGCCGCCAGATCCTTGCTTGGCTGGGCGAGTAGGGTCCGCCTTCGGCGCCGCGGAGGCCATGGGGCGACGCAGAGATGGACAGGCCAGCAAAGTGCGCAGCGTGGAAACACGCGGGGAATGGGCAGGCCTTGACCCACAAATATTGCTGCAACTGTGGCGAGAGCGGCGCCGGCGATAACAATTCTTGCGAGGGCCGACGGGGCCAAGAGGCCAAGAGCGACACCATTTCACCCTGCCAGTTTTCTGGGAAGGTGGCGAGCGGAGAGCGGCGAGTGGTAGGGGGAAGGACGGGGATCGGAAGGCGGGCAGGGTGGGGGGCAGGGGGGGAAGCAGACGTGCGATGAGACGCGAGGAGGTGGGGGGGGAGGAGGGCGAGGACGAAGACGAGGAGGTGGGCGAGGAGCCCCATCCCTCTAATCCTCTCCCTCGCCTGTTTAGCTGCCAGCGAATGAATGGAATGCACGGGGCGCAACGCGCCTGCAGGCCCGCGGGTGGCGGAGCACTCGGGGGGCGCAAATCGATTTCATGATTGTCTCGAATGTCTAATCGTAGACTGGTTACCCTGGCCACTGGCTGACGGATGCGTTCACCCGAACCGCCCAAAAACACAAATAAAAAAGACAGGGGGCGGATGCCTGGCGATGCGCCACGCGCGCCACCAGGCACCTCGCGCTTAGCCTCCGAAGTCGGAGCCCCCCCATGCCCACTCGGCCCTAGCCCGGCGACGTTGGGATCAGACAACTCGCATCCCCGGCCACGGGCGCAAACGCGAAGCGCGCCAATGCCCGAAGCACGCGGGCCGCAGCCCGTCACACTTGCCAATGTGTACAAACAGTCTCAGAAAGAAGTGGCTATCTGACCTCGGGCTCTGACTCAAGCAGCTTCAAGCGATTCCCGCTGCGGCTACTGCCGCTGATGCTGTTTGCGGCGCCCCGCGGATCAGTCGGCGCCGCATCCTTGCCCCCTTGTTGCGGCATGCGCGTCTCGGACGGATCAGAGACGCCGCGAGCTTTCCCACCGCGCAGTTGTGCGAGGGAAAAGGCGGCAGCCGAGCTGGGCGGTGGAAGATCGCCATCGCCGTCCTCGATCACGTACTGAACGTGCTTCTGCATCCCGGGAGGCCCCGCTGCCCAACAGACAGAGTCGCCGCATATTTTCACACAGCGTCCCAAACAACAGAATAAACCATTGGTGCTGAAGGGGCATGGGCACTCGGGTAAGAACCTCGTCCTATTGTATCACCCCAGTCCTATCCTCATCCTCCACGTGCCCCTCTCCAAACAATATCTCGTCCTCCTCCTACTCCGACCCGCCTCTGGATGAATCCCAGACGCGTGGCCAAGCTCCTGTCGACGCGGTTGATCTGGGTGAGCCGGTAGAAGTAGATGATGCCTGGAATGGCGACCGCCATGCTGTTGCCAGCCCGCGCCGACATCACCGTGGGGGCCCCCTGGCAACGGGGGCGGGGAGGGGGCGAGGCGGCCGGGGGCGGGGGGGGGGGGGGGGGGGAGGAGGGGGGGAGGAGGAAGGAGGAGGAGGAGGAGGAGGAGGAGGAGGAGGAGGAGGGGGAGGATCTAGGCAACAAAAAAACACACAGCTATTTCTTCAACATGTCGACGCCTGGTTTTGGGCCTCTCCAGGGCCTAGCCAACGGAAGCCGCCTTGAGCCACGCTGCAACAATTTCAAAGGAGGAGGGGGGGGGCATTGAGCGAGGCGAGGAGGGGGGGGCAGGCGGAGGTGGAGGAGGGGGGCGAGGAGGCGGGGCAGGAGGAGGAGGAGGAGGGGCCCAGGTGCACCCCTTCCCTGCGCCTAACACGGCAGAGGGGAGCGGGCAAGGAACCGATGTGACGAGCCAGTCATGCGGAGCATCAGGGGGTACTCAAGCTAACAGTTGGCCCCATTGCAATCCTGGGCTCGCCTAGCGGCCCCTCGAAGTGGAAGCTGCGCGCGGGCTTCTGATCGGAGGGGCGGTCGGGGTCCAGGGGGGGCGCCTGGGAGAGCCAAGCCTCGGTGCCCGTCATCCACGTCAAAGGCGGCGCGTTGCCCATGCCCGCCCAGTACAGGGCGCTGTTGCGGGTGAGGGTGCGGGGGATCGAAGGCGCGCTCTGGGCGTTGAATCCATTCGCCAGCCGCTGGTTCAGACTGTAGACGCACTGCGGGTAGCGCTCCCTGTAGTCGCGAAGGTTGCCGTACCCCCACTCTGTAAGAGCCAATTCGAAAGACGCTGTGTCTTTGATCGAGAGCTCATTCGCGCCGACCCCCTTGATGGACGCCCTGGGCTTCTTTCGACTGGCAAAGTGCTCGAGCTCCTCCTTCACCTCGGACTCCGGGCCGACGAAGTAGATCCTCCACGTGGCATGGCGCGCCCCGCGGAAGTTGACGGCAAAAGATTCAGAGCTTACGAGTGACATATTCGTCTTGGCCTTGTGCCGCATGATGATCCATGGGCGGGCCCTGGCGCTGGGAATGCCGCAGTGTTCCGAACAGTCCGACCGCCTCGATATCGTAGAGAAAGCCGAAGTACTCGCGCAATATGACCTCTGGGAATTGAATGGCATTATCCTGCGC